AAATTATGCTTCTGTAAGAAAAACTACACATTTCTTCTATGGGACAAACCTAAATGCACCCTGAAAACCTAATAATAATGGAAAAGGACCCACAGTGATATCCTGAGTCCCTTGTGTTCCTGGGATCGGCTGCCTTGTGTTATTGGTAGGGAAACACCACCACCTTGTGGACAAATAAGAAAATGGCTACATTTTGCTCAAGTAACATCAGATGGTGTTAAAAAAAAAAAAAAAACACCAGTTCTTTCAAGTTTCTGAAGCGCTTTCTACATTAATAGTGTTATATTTGTATTTCGAGGATAGCATAGTATTGCTGATAGAGATTTATAAGTGATCTCAAAGCGCATTCAGGGAAACACATCCTCTAAATACAGCTTCAAGGATGCTTTCTAAATTCCAAATTTGGTTATGGGTACTTTTTTTAAGCAACACTTAACTTTATTGCACATTTGCCCAACACATGCCTGCCTTTTGTAGTAATAATCTTTTAGGCTTCTATTGAATTTAGTAGATATCAAAGTGCTTTCACATCTATTATCCTTTTTTTACACTTTTTATTTGGCATTGCGGTATAGTTTATCAACAATGCCGTGACAGTTTCAGGAGAACAGTGAAGGGACTCAGCCACACACATACACACACCCATTCTCCCCCAAACTCCCCTCCCATCCAGGCGTCCACGTAACATTGAGCAGAGTTCCATGTGCTATACAGTAGGTCCTTGCTGGCTATTCGTTTTAAATACAGCGGTGTGTACATGTCCATCCCAAACTCCCTAACTATCCCTTTCCTCTGGCAACCGTTAAGTTCCTTCTCTAAGTCTGCGAATGTCTGTTTTGCAAGTAAGTTCGTTTGGGTATGGGAACCCACTCCAGTACCCTTGCCTGGAAAATCCTATGGACGGAGCAGCCTGGTGGGCTACAGTCCATGGGGTCGCAAAGAGTCGGACACGACTGAGCGACTTTACTTACTTGCATACTTACTTACATACGTACTTAAAGACAACCAGAAGCTACTTGAACAAAATGCAGCCATTTTCTTAGTTGTCCACAAGGTGGTGCTGTTGGCTGGAACTAAGCTTTCTTGATAGCTCAGACTGGATATTTTTTAACACACCCTGATGCTGCTTGACAGAGGAAGAGATGATTGGATGGCATCACCGATTCGATGGACATGAGTTTGAGTAAGCTCCGGGAGTTGGTGATGGACAGGGAAGCCTGGCGTGCTGCAGTCCATGGGGTCGCAAAGCCTCGGACACGACTGAGCGACTGAGTTAAACTGATGCTGCTGCTGCTGCTGCTAAGTCACTTCAGTCGCTGTGCGACCCCATAGACGGCAGCCCACCAGGCTCCCCCATCCCTGGGATTCTCCAGGCAAGAACACTGGAGTGGGTTGCCATTTCCTTCTCCCATGCATGAAAGGAAAAGTGAAAGTGAAGTCTCTCAGTCGTGTCCGACTCTTAGCGACCCCATGGACTGCAGCCTACCAGGCTCCTCCGTCCATGGAATTTTCCAGACGAGAGTACTGGCGTGGGGTGCCATTGCCTTCTCCAGAATTGATGCTACTTGAGCAAAATGTAGCCATTTTCTTATTTGTCCACAAAGTGGTGCTGATGGCTGGGACTACAACATACTTTTTAAAAAGTTGCTCACAGTAAAAGAAACCATCAAAAATAAAAGGGCAATCTACAGAAATGGAGAAAATATTTGCAAATCATACATCTGATAAGGGATTAATATTCAAAATATATAAGAAATTCAATAGAAAAAACTATTTAAAATGGACAAAAGAACTGAATAGATATCTTTCCAAAGGCCAACAGGTACATGAAAAGACACTCAATGTCACTAATTATTCAGTTCAGTTCAGTTCACTCGCTCAGTCGTGTCTGACTCTTTGCGACTCCATGAATCGCAACATGCCAGGCCTCCCTGTCCATCACCAACTCCTGGAGTTTACTCAAACTCATGTCCATCGAGTGATGCCATCCAGCCATCTCATCCTCTGTCGCCCCCTTCTCCTCCTGCCCCCAATCCCTCCCAGCATCAGGGTCTTTTCCAATGAGTTAACTCTTCACATGAGGTGACCAAAGTATTGGAGTTTCAGCTTCAGATTATTATTAGGGAAATGCAAATCAAACCACAATGAAATATCACCTCAGACCTGGAAGACAAGAGACAATAGCTTGCTACAACATTTCGCTTATATCTTTCTCAGGGCACTTTGATAGCTAATAATAATTGCTAATATTTATGATGCACAATTTATCAGAAATTTTAAAAGTCTTTTCCTATATTAACTCTCAATATTCATCATTACCCTAGGAGATATCCCATTTTACCGCTGAAGAAGCACAGTTATGTGGAGGTTATATAACTTACAAGTGAGGGAGACCTGGGTCCGATCCCTGGGTAGGGAAGATAACCTGGAAGAGGGCGTGGCAACCCACTTCAGTCTTCTTGCTGGAGAATCCCGTGGACAGAGGAGCCTGGAGGACTGCAGTCCATGGGGTCTCAGAGTGGGACACAACTGACTTTCACACACACAGACACACACACATAACTTAACCAAGTCATCAGACTCAGAGACAGCAAGGTTTGTCCACCGCAGCAGCGTCTCCAGCAGCCACGCTCTTAGTTTTCACTTTTCTGGCTGTGCAGGCTCTTCGCTGCTGCACACAGGCTTTCTCTGGTTGCAGCGAGTGGGGGCTCCTCTCGGTTGCAGTTTGAGGGCTTCTCACCGCGGTGGCTTCTCTTGTTGCAGAACTCAGGCTCTAGAGCGCAGGCCCAGTAGTTGTGGTACATGGCTTAGCCGCTCTGCACGCAGATGTGGATCTTCCCGGACTAGAGATCGAACCCATGTCTCCTGCATTGGCAGGTGGATTCTTTACCACTGAGTCACCAGGGAAGCCCTAAACTCTTAGTCATATGTTATATCACGTCTCACTGCACATTATTTTTTTAGATAAAGGCCCTTAGGATCAGGCCCTGAGTCAAAGCATCTGTTGTATTTTCCTACCACCGAGTGGTGTAGGAGACAAGGCACTGCCGTCCAAAGGCCTGCGGTTCCTTCTCACCCAGCATGTCTGCTTCTGTAAAGGAGACAAGGATAAATAAGCACATGGTTCCTGTGCTTTAAAAAGCACACAGTTAAGCTTTAGGATGAGAAATGAAGGCTCTTTGGGGAAACACAGGAAGTCATTCAAAGACGGCTTTTTGAAGGAAATGAAGGTAGGTAAGCAGCTAGAGCAGCATTCTAGGCAGGACAAGTAAAGGCAGAGCTTTCAAGCATTTCCAGTCAGTCTGTGAGGCTGGGATTATGGCAGCATGGGTTCCATGGTGGGAAAGAGGCCAAGATCACCAGTTCACTAAGTGCACTAGAATTCTCCCTCCTGAAAGCAGGAGGCCTCCCTTTGATAGACTTCAGGGATAATGACTTTTGATACTGCCCATGGGGTTCTCCAGGCAAGAATACCAGAGTGCGTTGCCATTTCCTTCCCCAGTGCAAAACAGAAGGCGGAAAAGGGGGAAGCAGTGACAGATTTTATTTTCTTGGGCTCCAAAGTCACTACAGATGGTGACTGTAGCCACGAAATTACAAGACCCTTGCTCCTTGGAAGAAAAGCTATGAAAAACCCAGACAGCATATTAAAAAAGCAGAGATATCACTTTGCTGACAAATGTCTGTAGTCATGCACGGATGTGAGAGTTGGACCATAAAGGTTGAAGGCTGAAGAACCATGGTGTTGGAGAAGACTCCTGAGAGTCCCTTGGGCAGTAAGGAAATCAAACAAGTCAATCCTAAAGGAAATCAACGCTGGATATTCATTGGAAGGACTGTTGCTGAAGCTGGAGCCTCAACATATTGGCCACCTGTTGCAAAGAGCCGACTCACTAGAAAAGCCCCTGACGCTGGAAAAGATTGAGGGCAAGAGGAGAAGGGGACAATACAGGATGAGATGGTTAGATAGCACAATGACTCAATGGACATGAATTTGAGCAAACTTCGGGAGACAGTGGAGGACAGAGGAGCCCTAGGCGCCACAGTACATGGGGTCACAGAGAGGGATAGGACTTGGAGATTCAACAACAAAAACAGGGAGGATAATGATCAGCTGTTTCTTTAGGGAGATCACTTGGCACTACAGTAGATGATATGGAAGGAAGAGACGATGGGATCAGGGAAGTAGATTATAAAACTGTTGAAGAGATGGGAGCAGGGACTGAAGCTGTGAAAGCCTCTTAAGACCCACCCTATATGGAGAAAGACCTCTGAATGCATTAGCTTTCCCTGTCTCCCGCCTGCCCATCTCAACCCAAAATCCTGCAACGCTAGTGAAATCTTCCGCCCAAACGTTGACACTTAATTGTCTTTTATTTTATTCCGTTTGATTCCTCTGCATTACTCAAGTCTCCGTAAGTACGAACAGTACAATAAACGTTTACGGAATTGAGACGGCTTGTGAAGTCGCCCAAAGCCAAACAACGCGCTCTGTGTTACTCAACGGCCCCGCCGCCCCGCCGCACACGCGGGCCCAGCCCTTGGCTGCGGAGCAGTCAGGACCAGTCCACCGAGCCGCTTCCGAGAGTAGATTGAGTCATCGCATCCCTAATCTAATTATCGCCACCTCCCAAGATCTCGCAGGCGGCTGCTCTCCAGACCGGCTCCAGACACCCAGCTCGGCTGCGAGACCCGCCGCGTCCACCAGAGGGCGCGTCTCCCTGGCTTCCGCATTCGGAAAAGCCCGTTCTCAGGGCGCAGCCAGAAAAAAAAAAAACAACTCGGATTTATTTCGGCCCTCTGCGGATGCCGTACCCGGGCTGTAAACAGGAAGTGGAATTCTATTTGGGAGTTGACGTTGGGGTGAAAAAAAGGCCAGGGATATGGGGGAGACGCGCCCATTCCGCTGGTGAGTACGTTTTCGGGGAGCTCGGGCCCGGTCTCCACTTTTGTGCCTCCCTCGCCCGCTCCTGCGCCGGTTCACGTGTTTTGCCACGACCATGGCCGAATACTCCTATGTGAAGTCCACCAAACTCGTGCTCAAGGGAACCAAGGCCAAGAGGTAAGGACGCGGGTTTGCGTGGGAGATTCTCGCCCTCTTTCTCGACTCCCCTCAGCCTTCCCCTCCCTGGGGCGAGTATCCTGGGGCCGCTGGTAGCTGTCATTCAGGCTCCCAGTCCTTGGGCCTGGCCTCCTGCCGGGATGCACAGATGTTGCGCGCACCTGGGGGACCAGGAGCCACAAAGTCGGATTTCCCTCGATGAACCCCCACCTCCAGATCTATGCTTCGTAGGACTGTGTTAGTCTGGTCGTGTGGGTTATAACAGTAACTCCCTTTATTAGGGATAACTCTTTTCAACATGGCTTCACTGCCACCTTTTAAAAAAATTAATTTTAATGCAATATGCAGATACGGATTTTGAAAAGGCTATGGGTTCAAACCTGGACTCCACCAATTACTAATCTTGTGGCAGGTTCGTCAGTATCATTGAGCTTCCTCTTGGGAGGGGATTAGTGATACTCCAGAAGGGTTGTTTTGAGGATTAAACGAGGTGATGTGTACAGTAAATAAGTAGAGCCAAATGCAAGGAAGAAGTTACCCTGGTGATTTATGAGTATGAGATTTTTTAGGAAAAGATATCTGCTCACTCATACCTACACCTCTTTTTTAACTGGTAGATTTGCTCAGGGTTGATCAATTTACACAAATGCTGAGTATTTCATCCTGGTCCCAGTGATAAGAGTTTTCGGTACTTTTAGATGGGATGGAAGGAAAGTGTCAAGAAGCAAGCTGAAGCCACTACTCTTAAGAACTCTGCCTAGGGGTCTGGGATTAAGAATTTATCCTGAATACATGCGAAACTGTTACTGCCTGAATTCATAGGAGGGAGGAGTTAGTTAGCTTCTGAAAGCTTATTTTGTGATGAAAATGTAAACAAGTGTGTCTTATAATCATTATAACTATCAATATAATTAACACATGTAGCATTTCATATGTGCCAAAAACTGTTGTAAGCAATGCCTATTAACTTTTTTTAAAGTCACTCGGGTTTTTTATTGTTGAGATATACTACATATACTATAAAGTTCGCCCTTTTAAAGTAGAATTCAGTGGGTGTTAGTGTATTCACAAGGCTCAACACTGTTGAGTTGCTGAACGTTTGCATCCTCTTAGGAGGAAGCCCACCATCATTAGCAGTCACTCCACATTCTGCTCATCCCCTAATCCCTGGCAACCACTAATCCACCTTTTGTCTGTATCAGTTTGCCTCATAAACACTCCATATAAATGGAATCATACAATATGCAGGGTCAGACACGACTGAACGGCTGAACGATACAATATGCAGCCTTTTGTATCTGGCTTCTTTTACCTAGGATAACATTCTCAACATTCATCTATGTTGTATCAGTACTCATTCCTTTTATGGCTGAATAATATTCCATTAAGGGCTTCCCAGGTTGGGAAACACTAGAGATCTCTTCAAGAAAATTAAGAGATACCAGGGGAACATTTCATGCAAAGATGGGCTCAATAAAGGACAGAATGGTATGGACCTAACAGAAACAGAAGATGTTAAGAAGAGGTGGCAAGAATACACAGAAGAACTGTACAAAGAAGATCTTCACGAGCCAGATAATCATGATGGTGTGATCACTCACCTAGAGCCAGACATCCTGGAATGTGAAGTCAAGTGGGCCTTAGGAAGCATCACTATGAACAAAGCTAGTGGAGGTGATGGAATTCCAGTTGGGCTATTTCAAATCCTGAAAGATGATGCTGTGAAAGTGCTGCACTCAATATGCCAGCAAATTTGGAAAACTCAGCAGTGGCCACAGGACTGGAAAAGGTCAGTTTTCATTCCAATCCCAAAGAAAGGCAATCCCAAAGAATGCTCAAACTACTGCACAATTGCACTCATCTCACACGCTAGTAAAGTAATGCTTAAAATTCTCCAAGCCAGGCTTCAGCAATATGTGAACCGTGAACTTCCAGATGTTCAAGCTGGTTTTAGAAAAGGCAGAGGAACCAGACATCAAATGGCCAACATCCGCTGGATCATCGAAAAAGCAAAAGAGTTCCAGAAAAACATCTATTTCTGCTTTATTGACTATGTCAAAGCCTTTGACTGTGTGGATCACAATAAACTGTGGAAAATTCTGAAAGAGATGGGAATACCAGACCACCTCACCTGCCTCTTGAGAAACCTGTATGCAGGTCAGGAAGCAACAGTTGGAAGTGGACATGGAACAACAGACTGGTTCCAAATAGGAAAAGGAGTACATCAAGGTTATATATTGTCACCCTGCTTATTTAACTTATATGCAGAGTACATCATGAGAAACACTGGGCTGGATGAAGCACAAGTTGGAATCAGGATTGCCGGGAGAAATATCACTAACCTCAGATATGCAGATGACACCACCCTTATGGCAGAAAGTGAAGAGGAACTAAAGAGCCTCTTGATGAAAGTGAGAGAGGAGAGTGAGAAAGTTGGCTTAAAGCTCAACATTCAGAAAACTAAGATCATGGCATCTGGTCCCATCACTTCAAGGCAAATAGATGGGGAAACAGTGTCAGACTTTATTCTTTTGGGCTCCAAAATCACTGCAGATGGTGATTGCAGTCATGAAATTGAAAGACGCTTACTCCTTGGAAGGAAAGTTATGACCAACCTAGACAGCATATTAAAAAAACAGAGACATTACTTTGTCAACAAAGGTCTGTCTAGTCAAGGCTATGGTTTTCCTAGTAGTCATGTATGGATGTGCGAGTTGGACTATAAAGACTATAAAGACACTGCAGAATTGATGCTTTTGAACTGTGGTGTTGGAGAAGACTCTTGAGAGTCCCTTGGACTGCAGGGAGATCCAGTCAGTCCATCCTAAGGGAGATCAGTCCTGAATATTCATTGGAAGAACTGATGTTGAAGCTGCAACTCCAAAACTCTGGCCACCTGATGCGAAGAGCTGACTCATTGGAAAAGACCCTGATGCTGGGAGGGATTGAGGGCAGGAGGAGAAGGGGATGACAGAGGATGAGATGGTTGCATGGCATCACTGACTTGATGGACATGGGTTTGGGTAAAGTCCACGAGTTGGTGATGGACAGGGAGGCCCGGCATGCTGTGGTTCATGGCGTCGCAAAGAGTCGGACACTGAGTGACTGAACTGAACTGAACTGAAGGTGGCTCAGTGGTAAAGAATCCCCCTGCCAATGCAGGAGACGCAGGTTTGATCTCTGGGTGAGAAAGGTCCTCTGGAGAAGGAAATGGCAGCCCACTCCAGTATTCTTGCCTGGGAAATCCCATGGACAGAGGAGCCTGGTGGGCCACAGTCCATGGGGTTGCACATAGTCAGACACGACTGAGTGGCTAAACCACCACCAGTGCTCCATTATATGGATATAACACATTTTGTTTATCCATACATCAGTTGATGGACATTTGGGTTTCCATTTTGGAGACATGAATAATGCTGCTATGAATATTCTTATGCAAGTTTCTGTGCGGACCTATGTTTTCATTTCTCTTGAGTGTCAACCTAGGAGGAGAATCGTTAGATCCAATGGTTTCCATAAACCTAATTCCATACTTTTCAAGAACTCCAAACTCTTCTGGTTGCATCATTTTACATTTTCACAAGTAATGTATGCAGATTATGCCTTAACTCCTAATCCTCACAGTAAGAGCTGGGTTAAATTGTTATCCTCATTTGTATAGGTAGGGAAATTGACAAATTAAGTAAATTCTCCAAACAAATCACAGAGCTAAGAAATGACAGAATCAGGATTCTAAAAGGCAGTCTGGCTCCAGAGTCTGTTCTCTTTAACTGCAACACAATACCAACAGGATCAGAAGTAACTTCTCTGTATTAGAAGTAAAAGGGTATATCAAGGAATATTGTTATATATCAGTAATTTATATACCAGTGTACATCTTAGAAGAGTCCTCTAAGATTCCATCGGATGATATTTAGTATGCAAATCAATATATCTAAACTCATCTATATAAATTATCCCCTGTAGTAAGAAGAAAAAGAGCAAAGAGAAGAAGAGAAAAAGAGAAGAAGATGAAGAAACTCAGCTTGATATTATTGGTGAGTCAATTTTCTATTACTTCATTCTGAGAAAAGTTAGCATTGGTTGAGATCCCCTTAAAAATATTTTCCTAGCAGAGATAAGTAGTAAAAAGAAAGTAGAAGGAATTTATGGCCGACTCACATTTGTCTTAAAATGCTCAAATATTAGAGTTATAGGCTGCTTTTATGTTCCAGCACGGTTGATGTCTGATGCCTTTTCTTCATCGTCAAAACAAAGCACAGGAGAGAGGAAACACAGGTCTCTGACTTCATAGGTGCCATCGTTGGACTACCTAATAGCCCATAGATTGTGATAGATCATTTTAAAGGGCTGATTACCTATAAATATCATTTAACCAAATACAGTATACAAATTATTTTCTCTCTTTTCATCATATTGATATCCAGATATCATACTGATAGACTTCCTTTCTCAACAAAGTGCTTTGGTGTCTTTGTCAAAAATCAGTTGACTTTATATATGTCAGTCTATTTATGGACTCTGTTCCTGCAGTTTGTCTGTTGTTCTTTTGATATATTTGTCTTGATTACTGTCACTTCATAAAGTCTTGAAATCAGGTGGTGTGAATCTCCCAGCTTTATACTTCTGTACTTCTTTATAGTCTTGTAGATCCTTTGTTCAGTTCAGTTGCTCAGTCGTGTCCGACTCTTTGCGACCCCATGAATCGCAGCACGCCATGCCTCCCTGTCCATCACCAACTCCCAGAGTTTACTCAGACTCATGTCCATCGAGTCGGTGATGCCATCCAGCCATCTCATCCTCTGTCATCCCCTTCTCCTCCTGCCCCCAATCTTTTCCAGCATCAGGGTCTTTTCCAGAGTCAACTCTTCAACTCTTCACATGAGGTGGCCATAATATTGGAGTTTCAGCTTCAGCATCAGTCCTTCCAGTGAACACCCAGAGCTGATCTCCTTTGGGATGGACCGGTTGGATCTCCTTGCAGTCCAAGGGACTCTGAAGAGTCTTCTCCAACGCCACAGTTCAAGAGCATCAATTCTTCAGCACTCAGCTTTCTTCACAGTCCAGCTCTCACATCCATACATGACCACTGGAAAAACCATAGCCTTGACTAGACAGACCTTTGTTGACAAAGTAATGTCTCTGCTTTTTAATATGCTATCTAGGTTGGTCATAACTTTCCTTCCAAGGAGTAAGTGTCTTTCATTTTCATGACTGCAGTCACCATCTGCAGTGACTTTGGAGCCCAAAAAAATAAAGTCTGACACTGTTTCCACTGTTTCCCCATCTATTTGCCTTGAAGTGATGGGACCAGATGCCATGATCTTAGTTTTCTGAATGTTGAGCTTTAAGCCAACTTTCTCACTCTCCTCTTTCACTTTCATCAAGAGGCTCTTTAGTTCCTCTTCACTTTCTGCCATAAGGGTGGTGTCATCTGCATATCTGAGGTTAGTGATATTTCTCCCGGCAATCTTGATTCCAACTTGTGCTTCATCCAGCCCAGTGTTTCTCATGATGTGCTCTGCATATAAGTTAAATAAGCAGGGTGACAATATATAACCTTGACGTACTCCTTTTCCTATTTGGAACCAGTCTGTTGTTCCATGTCCAGTTCTAACTGTTGCTTCCTGACCTGCATACAGGTTTCTCAAGAGGCAGGTCAGGTGGTCTGGTATTCCCATCTCTTTCAGAATTTTCCAGTTTATTGTGATCCACACAAAGGCTTTGGCATAGTCAATAAAGCAGAAATAGATGTTTTTTCTGGAACTCTCTTGCTTTTTCGATGATCCAGCGGATATTGGCAATTTGATGTCTGGTTCCTCTGCCTTTTCTAAAACCAGCTTGAACATCTGGAAGTTCACGGTTCACGTATTGCTGAAGCCTGGCTTGGAGAATTTTGAGCATTACTTTACTAGCATTTGAGATGAGTGCAATTGTGCGGTAGTTTGAACATTCTTTGGCATTGCCTTTCTTTGGGATTGGAATAAAAAGTGACCTTTTCCAGTCCTGTGGCCACTGCTGAGTTTTCCAAATTTGCTGGCATATTGAGTGCAGCACTTTCACAGCATCATCTTTCAGGATTTGAAATAGCCCAACTGGAATTCCATCACCTCCACTAGCTTTGTTCATAGTGATGCTTCCTAAGGCCCACTTGACTTCACATTCCAGGATGTCTGGCTCTAGGTGAGTGATCACACCATCATGATTATCTGGGTCATGAAGATCTTCTTTGTACAGTTCTTCTGTGTAATCTTGCCACCTCTTCTTAATATCTTCTGCTTCTGTTAGATCCGTACCATTTCTGTCCTTTATCGAGCCCATCTTTGCATGAAATGTTCCCCTGGTATCTCTAATTTTCTTGAAGAGATCTCTAGTCTTTCCCATTCTGTTGTTTTCCTCTGTTTCTTTGCATTGATCGCTGAGGAAGGCTTTCTTATCTCTCCTTGCTATTCTTTGGAACTCTGCATTCAGCTGGGAATATCTTTCCTTTTCTCCTTTGCTTTTCGCTTCTCTTCTTTTCACAGCTATTTGTAAGACCTCCTCAGACAGCCATTTGCTTTTTTGCATTTCTTTTCCATGGGGATGGTCTTGATCCCTGTCTCCTGTACAATGTCACAAACCTCCGTCTATAGTTCTTCAGGCACTCTATCAGATCTAGTCCCTTAAATCTATTTCCTTTGTATTTCCATATAAACTTTACAATCAATGTATTACTTTCTACAATAAATCCTGTTGGATTTTCCAGGAGAACTGTATTGAATCTAGAATCTAGGTTATTTGGGGAGAGTCAACATGAAGTGTACTTGGTCAGTATAGCACAGAACATATAAAATACAAATAATTTTATTTCACTACTACATTTTTAAGAAAGAATTAATGATCATAGGATGTTGATAATGATTCTGAGTAAAGCTTTTTTTTTTACTGACAACAATTATAACTGTAAGTCAGAAATAGCTCAAATTATCGTGCAAACCTCTCACTAAATTACCTGAATTGTAGGAAAACACACTTAATATGAACCCTTTTTTAGTGTACAGTTCAGTGTCATTAAGTGCATTGCCATTACTGTGCAGCCATTACCACCATCTGTCTTCAATTCAAGATGAATTTTTTTTCATCTTACAAAACTGAAACTTTACACCCATTAAACTATAAATGCCCATACCTCCCTCTCCTCTAGTCCCTAGGAAGCACCATCCTGTTTTTTCTCTCTCTGAATCCAACTACTCTAGAACTGCAAAATTTTAAAAAAAGTTATAATGACAACAGCAGCAAGTAAGAACCTTCTGTCACAAATACAAAATGTAAATTTAAATGATTTATTTTATCTTTTAGGAATCTGGTGGACAGTAACGAACTTTGGTGAGATTTCAGGAACCATAGCAATTGAAATGGATAAAGGAACCTACATACATGCACTTGACAATGGACTTTTTACACTGGGAGCTCCGCATAAAGAAGGTTTGTGTCTGGTAGAGGCAATGGGATGGAAAAGGCCACTTGAAGTTAATATTTTATGGCATTCATTCACTTACACCAAATCCTAACTAATCGCAAATACATGCCAAAGGAGTGAATCCACTGATTTGACTCTTCCACTTTTTTCCTTCCTCACTATTTACCAGTTATTGGCAACTCCCTCTTTGCAGTGTAAGCATTTGAAAACATTCTGTGTAATTCCAAAAGGGTATCCATGGCAATCAAAACTATTGTAAATAATTGAAATAATAAAAGGAAAGAAAAAGAAAACCTAGATGAATCAAAAGTTTGAATTCCTTTACTCTTTAGACCTTTTGCCACAGCTCACCCGGGGCACTGTTAATCTGAAGTTTTCTCTTTTGTTTTAGCCCATGGGAAGAAGCACTAATGAGACACAAAGTAATTAGAAAATTACAAAGAGCTTTTTATCCAAATGGTCATCCCTTGAATAAATTAAAGCATTTTAGTTTTTTAAACATTAAGTGCTTATTTGTCTATGTGCTGGCTGCATTTTAAAATGCAAGGAGATAGTATCTTGGAAGTAACTAAATAAATAAGCATCATGCTGACCTATCTCATTAGATATGTAAAACTAAACTTTAGTTTTTTGTTTTTTTTTTTTAACATACGCTTCTCATTGACTGTTAGAGACTTTTTAAATAAACTAAAGTTTAGTTTTACATACAGAAGATAAAGTATTCTTTTTTTTTTTTTTGGCTTAAAATAACACAAATTTATTACTATCACACAATTCTAGAGGTCAGAAGTCCAAAGTGAGTCTCCATGATCTAGAATCAAGATGTTAACAGAGCTGCATTTGAAGATAAAGTAACTCTTGATACTATGAATACTATATCGTGTGTTAAGCTGCTCAGTCATGTCCGACTCTTTATGACCCTGTGGACTGGAGCCCGCCAGGCTCCTCTGTCCATGGGATCCTGTGGGCAAGAATACTAGAGCGGGTTGCCTTTTCCTACTCCAAGGGATCTTCCCAACCCAGGGATTGAACCCACGTCTCCTGTGTTGGCAGATGGGTTCTTCACTGTCTGAACCACCAGGGAAGCCCATATACCATATTATAATTACATAATATAATATTCTTACATTTGGTTTTAAAAGAAAAAGAACTACTTTTTTTTTAAGCCAAAGAGTATTTTTACATGTATAAGAAATGTCAAATTTACTTCAAAATGTTTTCTCTTGTAGTTGATGAGGGCCCTAGTCCTCCAGAGCAGTTTACAGCTGTCAAATTGTCTGATTCCAGGTAAGCTTGAGTTGAACTATAATTAATACACTGTAATACAAGATGGTACATTATAATAGGATATATCAATTAAAAGTGGTGTTTTTGAAGAATAATGAATTTGGGAAAATATTTGCTGCATAAAATAAGGTATTATATAGTACTTGTATTTAAAAAGTAGAATATTAAACTGTATACACAGAACCACTTGTCCAGTATGGTAGCCACTTGCCACACATGGCTTTTGAACATTGGAACTGTGGTTAATCTAAATTTTATACACACGTTTTTATGTTCCATATTTAATTTTCTCTAAGTTTTTAACATTTAACTACTTTATTAATCTGAAGAATTGCCCTGAAATCTGGCTATGGAAAATACCTTGGTATAAATTCAGACGGACTTGTTGTTGGGCGTTCAGATGCAATTGGACCTAGAGAGCAGTGGGAACCCGTCTTTCAAGATGTAAGTACTATTATTTTATTTTACAAGCGCCTTCTCAGCATAGGAGAAAGTCTCTAACAGTCAACAAGAACATATATTCAGACAAAACAAAAAAGTAATGCAATAATATAATGCATTAAATTTTTACAAATTAACATGAATTCATAACCTTCAGAAGATCTCAAAAAATAGTGCAACACAGGAAAAAAACACAACAATCAATAGAGTGAAAAGACATGCTATAGACTGGGAAAAAGTACTTATAAGCTAGATATCTGTTAAAGGGTTAATGTCCAAAATATATAAGAAACTCATTCAGTTCTCTGAGATCTGCTCTTACTGAAGTGGATCAATGATGAAAATAGCCAAATCTGAGCATCAGAAGACCTTTTAGTCTACCTGATACATGATCTCTGTAGTTCTGACAAGCTAAAGAATTTAAAATAAAGTGTGTGTGTGTTTGTGTGTGAGTAAAGGTGACAGTAGATTACTGAGAACTTTATTGATGGGTGAGTGTGTATGTGTGTGTGTGTGTATGAAAGGCTGATCAGTTCTGAGCAATGATGAAAAGGTTTTATTACTATGGACCTTTATAACTGTGAAGGTTTCTACACTTGATCTGAGCTCAGAATTTAAAAAAAAAAGAAACATTCAATAGCAAAAACAAAACATTTTTTTTTAATTGGCAAAGAAACCGAATAGCTATTTCTCATTATATCAATAGAAGAGGCCAGCATATCATAAGGCAATATTAAGAATCAGATACTACCAGTCATACAGAACTTTAGGAATTTTCATTTCACTTTATTTTGAGGGAAGACACTACGTTTTAAAATCTTAAAGAAAGACTTAAAAGTCCCTGGCTTAACAAGTAAAACTTTAACACAGAAAAGGGACTCAGCGGAAAAATCAGCAGCACAGATTTAAATCACCTTGGACTAAATCACAGCCACATCCCAGCTCACCACGAGGCATGCACATGACAGAAAACTCAATCCTCACTCCCTCAAATAAGAAATTAAATCAAACCCATATTATTAGCACTTTCGTCAATGGATATGATAGATTAAATTCTTCCTACACCCACAGGTCCCTCAGACATTGATTCTTAAAAGGGCTGAGCAATAAATTCAAAGGCATCAAAGCCTAGCTTTTCTGTGTTTTTTTCTGCATTTCTTTCTTTTTTTAATGTTATGGAAGTATAGTTGGTTATACTTCAACTGTGATTTTTTTTATGTTTTCTAATTATGGAGGAAAATCTTAAAATATTGCTTTTTGAGTAAAATACATTATAATTTCTTTAAAGCTAATTAAAACAAACTGACTAAATCAATTATATCCCAATAAATCTTTGCAGCCAAAGGAAATAATTCTAGTCCATATAATTTTAATTTAGTCCTACTAAATCTAATAGAATATACTAAAAGTATTCAATGTGATTATCTTTGAATAGTAAGATTATAAATGATTTTGATTTATTTTTCTATGTTTTTTTATCTTCCAGGTTTTCTTCACATTCTTTTTCCTGATTCCTTTTAGATTTGGGAAGGAATCAGTTTAATCTCAAGACTTAAGAATTCTTTTGCAGATATTCTTATAACTTATTACTTTGTTTTATTTAGGGGAAAATGGCTCTACTGGCCTCCAATAGCTGTTTTATTAGATGCAATGAAGCAGGTGATATAGAAGCAAAAAGTAAAACAGCAGGAGAAGAAGAAATGATAAAGGTAATCATGAGCGTTTTCTATAGACTAGTACACGTCACATATATGATGTGACTACATCTCAATGTTGCAGTCTGTTCCACACTCACCAGGTGTAATGCATTAGTGAGGGCCATGGTGGAAGGCACAAAGAAATGAAAAAAAGCCTTTTTTAAAGTGGCCTAATCCTTATAAATAAAGCATAAAAATCCATGTTACATTTTCTCTACTATCAGCATAACTTAAACATGTCTATCAAGTATGTGTATACATTTTGTTTTAAATTCTGTGTCATATATTTTTTACTTTTTAAATATTTTCAGTTTTCATAATCTTCAGTTTTACAGTCTTACACTATTCTTTCTAACCTCGAAAAATATCACTAATCTTTTAAAACAAGAATGTTAATACCAGTAACTCTTTATTTCATCATTTGGAATTGACTGATGGAGAAAGAAATACCATTCTAGATAGCTCAGGAATTAGAAGTTTTAGTATGTCTTCCATGGTTTTCTCAAAAGCCATTTTCACTGCTAAAAATGTCCCCCAAAAAATTAAATCTAAAACCTAGATTTTCTTTTGTAATTTTTAAAAGTGTTAGTCATAATGTTTTTCAGTTATTCAATACATAAAACTAAAGCAAGTAGCTTCAGGAACATGCGAGATTGTCTTTAGTGTTCCCATAAGGTAGTTACTGTTACCTTTTAACTGTCCTGGGGAGGAACAGCCTCTAACCCTCCTTAAATCCTCAGTGTTTTGATCAGTCACTGCAGGAAGTCGCACAGCTAAAGTGGAGACAGAATGTGTACCCAGGCCCAACTGACCCTAGAAGTTACATTCCACAGCACATTGCTTCTGCGAAAGCAAGTCACTAGAAAAATGCTGGTGGAGCATTCTCTGGTGGTCCGGTGGTTAAGACTCCAAGCTTCCACTGCAGGGTCACAGGTTCTATCCCTAGTCAGGGAACTAAGATCCCACTCACCTATTTATTTTGTTTGTAATTATATTTAATTTTTTGTGTCATGTTTAAATTATTTATTTGGATTACATTATAAAAGTATGATTATTGAAGACAAACAGTGCAACTCTATGAGCAGTAGCTTGCACATCTACAGAAGAAAAAAAAAATTATGCTGTATTTTATCAACAGTTGCAGCTCTTTTTATATGAAGTACCTGTCAGCTTTCCCTAACCTGTTTGTTTAGGCAGGTACCTGGAACCTCTGAGCAGTGATAATCCAGGACTGTGTCCACCCTCCCTTCCACATTGCAGGCTCTGCTTGTCTGTGTCAGCGTCCACCTTCATACACTGGCCTTATCTACCAGAACACATCCCTTCCTGCCAGGGGTGGTATAGTGTCACAGGCCTGGCCCAGAATTTCCACAGTTCTTTGAGGACTCCTCCAGCCAGAGTGGTTGCACACGTATTAATTGCACATGCCTTATTATTGCCCACAACTTTCGAAGCAATCTTGGAACGTGCTCTAAGCCACAGAGATCACTTTCAAGATGTCGGTCCTTTGGGTTGCAGATTGCCAGTTCCTTGGCCCTGAATTCCATCACCTTCCTGCCCCACTGCATTCTCCAGGCAAGACTACTGGAGTGGGTAGCCATTCCCTTCTCCAGGAGGTCTTCCCCACCCAGGGACCAAACCCCAGGCTCCCGCTGCAGGCGGAGTCTTTACTGTCTAAGCCGCCAGGGAAGCCCTGTGCCCTACTCAGTTGATCTTGATTGCTGTATCTGTGCCAGGTAATCTATGGCAGATGATAGTATTTGTCAAAACTTACGAAGGTAAAAGGATGTAAAAGGGATAAATTCCAATTAGGTAAAAACAAATTGTGTTATGTTAAAAGATTGGAAGCATTTGGTAATAGCCTGTGCATAGTAAAACGGCTAACACTGTTCAGTGTTATAAAGTGAACACTAAATAGCAGGATAATTTGATTCTACTGTATTTACTTATGAAGCCAAAATTAAACTAGTTAAATTATTGCCTAATTGGCATAATAATATCTGATCTGTAAAATGCTTTTCAAGTAATTTTCTCTTTAGTTTTTCTAATGTAAGGGCTCTAAGGAAACATATAATAGCAATTATTTATGTAAATTACATATATATATATATGCGCGCATACCTAGAACTTGTTTTTTTCTGAATCTAACTGCCAAGTTGTTTTCTTCTTTGGTGTAAGAAATCATCTAGGAAAAAAAAAAGAAATCATCTAGAATGTTCTTTTGTAATAAGTAAGGTGGGAGAGGGGAAGATAAATGTGTAACCTCTGTATTCTCATCTCCAATATATAGATCAGATCCTGCGCCGAAAGAGAAACTAAGAAAAAAGATGATATTCCAGAAGAAGACAAAGGAAATGTCAAACAGTGTGAGATCAATTACGTGTAGGTATTTTTTTTTTCTTTTAGAACAATAGGTTTGGCAATGACATGCTTCTCAAGACACCTAAAATAAAAGACCTGAAAGATAAGAAAAGACAGCACAGTGTAGACTCTAGGACAGGGCACTGAGCTGAATGCCTCTGGTTAAAGGTTCAGGTTTCAACATTCCCGTCACCTGTATTGGTTTGTTCTCCCTGCTCAAGGCTTCCCCAGTGGCTCGGTGGTGAAGAATCCATCTGTCAAGCAGGAGATGCAGGCTCAGTCCCTGGATCAGGAAGATGCCCTGGAGGAGGGCATGGCAACCCACTCCAGTATTCCTGCCTGGAGAATCCCATGGACAGAGGAGCCTGGCAGGCTACCATCCATGGGGTCGCAGAGAGTCAGACACAACTTAGCGACTAAACAACAACAGCCCTGCTCTGTAGAGTTGCTGTCACTGTCAGTACATAAAGCCTGGCAAATGTTACCAGGACACAGGAGACTCCAGCCAACACTCCCAAGTGTTAATTAAGTTTGTAGAGCTACCCAGGCAACTGCCTTCTTGATGGTGGGATAGAAAGGTCATTTTTGTTGTTGAAAAGTTGTAAGTTATTTGAGAAAAACAGTGTTTTTAAGTAAATGAAAAACTTAAATATTTGTAAGCTTGTTAGTAAACATGTATAATCAAAGTTTGAGACATTTTTCAAGAAAGGCATTTTCTTAATAGAAAGAAATTCCAGAGCTTCCAAGACCACAAGCTTAAAATAAGTAAAGAAGACAGTAAAATTCTGAAAAAGGCCCGGAAAGATGGATTCTTGCATGAAACACTTCTGGACAGGTAAGTAAATTTTTATTCATTTCCAGCTATTTTCAGTAGCCAATAGAAGTGGTGTATAAGCACATGTCCTTTTCTTAATTACTGTAATTTTAAAATTTTTGTCTTTATTTCTAAGTTTTGAATGTGGTGGTATTAACCTTAAAAGGGATATTTTAAGTCTGGGAAAAGATCACCAAGAAAAAGTATTTGGAAATAGCCAGGTCCCAAGTGCTTATATATTTTGTTACAAGCAATTCAGGTTTGACTGAAACTACTTCATAAATTCATATACCATTGACTTTTTTATAACCGTTAAAACCAGGGCTAGAAAGAAGTAGCTTGACTAATTTTAAAATTCAATGGGTCTGTTAAAAGTAGTACAGGTTTCAAAAAATAAGATAAAAATCAGTTTAAAAATTTCTAAGTATAAAATTGAAGCACTTTATTGAGTTCATACATGTGCAATATATTCAACACAGCAAATTATTAATATTTATTTATTAGTATTCCTATTTAAGAAAGTAGTGGCCTAGATTTCCAACATTAGTAAAATGGTTGGAGAGGCTTAGCTATGAGCTTGCTAGTATAAATCAAGTAAGCACCATATCAGAAGAGAATTTGGTAATCTGCCACTTTTCAAGTCTTACGTTGCAAAGTTAGCTTTAAGATATTTCTTTAGATTACTTGGTAACAGTTCTTTATCAGGTGTTTCCTGTTAACCAGTTGATCAAGTGACTACTTGAAGACAGCAAATGATGTAATGATTATTTCCAGCTGAGCATATTAACATACCTATTTTTAGGAAATCAAGAATAGGCAATAAAAGTAATCAGGATATGGACTTAAACAGAATAAGGTCTGTGTCCTGTAACCCTTATCACTTATGATAATACAACATTCCCACCTTATTAAATAGAAGTTTAGGGCATGCTTAAATTCAGAGGCTATTAAAATTGCTGTTCTGGATTTTAAAAGCCTTTAGGCAACATGAGTTAAAGATTAGGAAAAGTTTTTTTCGTAAGAATAAAATCCCATGTATTATGAAACATTCAATTGAGAAGTAAACATTTTAATTAAAATATTTTAATATAAGCGGTGTGGTAAGATAAAACTGAAGACATAGTTGAACACACGTTTATGATTTTAGTAGCAGGTGACTATTACATGACATATTTTTACATAGATTAATTTTTTTATTATTTGCTTTTTGTTTAAACAGGAGAGCCAAATTGAAGGCTGATAGATACTGCAAATGACCAAGATTTTTATTTCTGTCTTCTCCTTTTGTTTTTTTCTGAATAATAAAATCAGTGTTTTTACAGAATTATTGGGCTGTTTTGTAATTATAGCTGAACCAGCAGCTAGATTTAACTAAGATTAATCAAGTTTAATTGAGCTTCTCTATGGAGGTACTTTAGTTAACTGCAGTGTTTCACATGGAAATGAAACTTTGAAAGTGGCACGAAATTTTTTTTTTCTTTTCTGGATTTCCTATCAAAAGGATAAAGTTCTACTCTATGAAACTAATGTTTACTGTGCAGTTTGTGGAAGCTGTCTTACTGCTTTACAGTCCTACTTTCCATTTCTTAATACATAGGTGTCTGATCAGTACCTTTAAAAGGAAGTTAGAAACTCCAAGTCCATCAGCAAGACTTTAATTCTACCTCTGAAACTGCCCGATCATACACAAGCCAAGCAAATATCAGGATGAGGGCGCTGGACAGAGAGAAAGAAATTGTATTAAGCAGTGGGGTGAAAACGAAACATCACAAAAGAGCAAGTAGGTTCAGAACAGAGACTAAGAGTAAAATTGGGGAAATCCCCTACTTAGGATCCTCTAGCCATAACAGATGTGTATATAATGCTTTCATCCTCACTTGTGGGATGGAAAGGGAGCTATTAAAGAAGTTCAGATACTAAGCATTGCTAAGGACTGCTTTGCCCAGGCAGTTTTATGCCCAGCCTGTCTCCTTCTGGGCTGAAAGAAACGCTGGGCTGGATGAAGCACAAGCTGGAATCAAGATTGCTGGGAGAAATATCTATAACCTCAGAAATGCAGATGACACCACCCTTATGGCAGAAAGCGAAGAACTATAGAGTCTATTGATGAAAATGAAAGAGGAGAGTGAAAAAGTTGGCTTCAAGCTCAACATTCAGAAAACTAAGATCATGGCATCTGGTCCCATCACTTCATGGCAAATAGGGAAACGGTGGAAACAGTGACAGACTTTTTTGGGCTCCAAAATCACTGCAGATGGTGACTGCAGCCATGAAATTAAAAGACACTTACTCCATGGAAGAAAAGCTATGACCAACCTAGATAGCATATTTAAAAGCAGAGACATTGTTTTGCCAACAAAGGTCCATCTGGTCAAGGCTATGGTTTTTCCAGTGGTCATGTATGGATGTGAGAGTTGGACTATAAAGAAAGCTGAGTGCCGAAGAACTGATGCTTTTGAACTGTGGTGTTAGAGAAGACTTGAGAGTCCCTTGGACTGCAAGGAGATCCAACCAGTCCACACTAAAGGAGATCAGTCCTGGGTGTTCATTGGAAGGACTGATGTTGAAGCTGAAACTCCAATACTTTGGCCACCTGATACAAAGAACTGACTCATTTGAAAAGACCCTGATGCTGGGAAAGATTGAAGGCAGGAGGAGAAGGGGACGACAGAGGATGAGATGGTTGGATGGCATCACCGACTCAATGGACATGAGTTTGAGTAAACTCTGGGAGTTGGTGATGGACAGGGAGGCCTGGCGTGCTGCAGTTGATAGGGTCCCAGAGTCGGACACGACTGAGCGACTGAACTGAACTGTCTCCTGAGTTCCTGAACACAGTACTCAGGATGTCATCTAGCCCTGTGAGTGTTCCTGAATCCAGGTTGTGTACCAAGTACCTGGACTTCACTGGATATTCCCGCTTCAGTAGAGCTAAGACTGGCTGATGCATTTTTGTTTTTACAATTCCATGTTGATTCCAGCACACAGCCATGACCAAAACCTGGTGTGACACCCTGTCTAGTTCTCAGCCTCTATATTCCATCTGTCACCAACTCTAGACTCCCATGGCCCCTCTACAAAAAATTTGCTAAGCCACCAACACGACAAGCCTTGTAGAGGAACTCTTGTAGCTGGACATTCTCCAGTGTTGCTTTCTCTTCCTTCTGATCCCCCAAAGCAGTGGTTCTCAAGCAGGGCCTATTTTGCCCACGGGACATTTTGGAATGTCTGGAGACATTTTTGGTTGTTACAACTGGAGAGGAAGGGGTAATCTGAGATCTAGAGGATTAGAAACTAGGGATACTGCTAAACATCCTACAGTGTATAGGACAGCACCGCATTCCCCCCCCCACCCCGGATAATTCAACAAAGAATTATCCCATCAAATTGCCAGTGGTGCCAAGATTGTGAAACCTGCCCTAGGACTTAGTCTATTCCTTGCTTTTGTCAGCTCCCCAACCCCTAAAAATAAATTTATATACATAAGAATTGTCTAGGATACCTGTAGATTTCCAAGACCCATCCTTAGAGATGCAGGCTTAACAAATCTAAGATTGGTCCCCCAATTTTTAACAAGCACTCCAGGTCATTCTGAAGCAGGCCTCTGAGCCACACCTGGAGAAACACTACCCTCAAGAGACTGAGATTCCCTGGTGGCTCAGCTGGTAAAGAATCCACCTGCAATGCGGGAGACCTAGGTTCAATCCCTGGGTTGGGAAGATGTCCTGGAGGAGGGCATGGCAACCCACTCCAGTGTTCTCTGTCCATAGAAGAATCCCCATGGACAGAGGAGCCTATCGGGTTTCAGTCCATGGGGTCGCAAAGAGTTGGACATGACTGAGCAACTAAGCACACGAGCTGCTGCTGCTAAGTCGCTTCAGTCGTGTCTGACTCTGTGCGACCCCATAGACTGCAGCCCACCAGGCTCCCCTGTCCCTGGGATTCTCCAGGCAAGAACACTGGAGTGGGTTGCCATTTTCTTCTCCAATGCATGAAAGTGAAATTGCTCAGTCATGTCCGACTCTTCACAACCCCATGGACTGCAGCCTACCAGGCTCCTCCGCCCATGGGATTTTCTAGGTAAGAGTACTGGAGTGGGGTGCCATTGCCTTCTCCAAGCACACAAGAGACTTAAGTCTTATTTCTAACACCAGTTTGGCACCAGGGACCTGCTGCCAGCTGACCGATTTCCCTGAAACAAACATTCTGTTAACCTGAATTTCTGAATGTAATACATTCCTGGATTTCTTGTCACCATGCTCACCTTCATGTTAACCCAGTTTCTGGCCCTGTTCAAGACAGCAGGAGTTAATTTCAGGTCTTGGCAACTAGGAGGATACAGATAGGCACTTCCTGCCTTCATGGAGTTTTATATACTAGTGAAGGAGGATAACAAGTAAGTAAAAAATCACAGGTAACAGGTGAGTGTTCCTTCCCTGTTTCAAGCATTGCATTTTATACAACCCCCATTATAGCACTGAAGTCAGTCTAGGAGAGTGGCAGAGATCAAGAATGAATGTACAGAGCGCCATGTGGTCCACATTTTTCCATCTTGTACATGAGCATATCTTGAGAAATTTTGTTTAAAGCACTGTCAAAATCAAGAAACGTTCTGGGCTTCCCTGTTAGCTCAGTGGTAAAGAATCCACCTGCCAATGCAGGAGACACAGGTTAAATCTCTGACCTGGAAAGATCCCACATGTGGCAGAGCAACTAAGCCCCTATTCTACAACTGTTGAGCCTGTGCTCTAGAGCTTGGGAGCTGCAACTACTGAATCCACATGCCCGAGAGCCTGTGCTCTGCGACAAGAGAAGCCACCACAATGAGAAGCCAGTGCTCGGCAACTAGAATAGCCCCTGCTTGCTGCAACTAGAGAGAAGTCCACGCAGGAACGAAGACCCAGTGCAGACAAAAACAAATAAAATTTTTTTAAAGATGCATTCTGATCAAACATTCCCCTGACTTACTAGTCTAGTAAATTTATGAAAAGATAGGTTATATACAATAAAAGTACAAATAAAGAAAAAGCTCCCCACACCCGATTTTGACTGCTCACACATTTTCAGATTAGATCATCTTGAAGATTTTTCTATCTTCATGTTCACAGAAGCTCACTCTTTTATCATCTTCAAACTGCTGTTAAACCCATCACTTTTTTTTTGATGGGTTTTTGTTAAACCCATCAGACACTATTCTTCACTTCTGGAATCCATTTGATCCTCCTGTGGCTTTTGCTCTGTTGTTAAAATTTCTGTTTCTCTGCTGAAATTTCCTGTGCGTTCATTAAAAGTCTTTTTTGGTGTTTTTGTTTTTAGGCAGTTCTAATGGCTCCCTTAAAAATCCTTGTCTACTAATTCCAACATCTGGGTCAGTCACCACTGCTTGCCTTTCCTTTTTAGTATGTTCTTCATATGTCTGATTTAATTAGACTGTATCCTGGATGTTGTGAATAATACATTATAGAAACTGGATTCTGTTTTGTCCCTCTGAAGAATTTTTGTTGATATTATTTAGTAGTTGTTTGTTGATATTGTTTAATTTGGTTGATCTCAAGCTCCAAATTCTGTCTTCCCCACACTGAGCCGCAACTGAAATCTCCCTTCCATTCTTTTAGTTTCAGCTGGGCTGCGTGAAGTCTGCCCCATGGATGTGGAGTTCTGAGATTAGTGAGAGATTTGAGCTGTGTGGCTACCCTCTGTAACTTTCTCCTTTTTTTCAGGATTTCCACCTCATTTCTACACTATTTAGTTGCTCTGAACTCTGTCCTCAGATTCCTCAAGTAAGATTTAAGTTTTAGTAACAGTAAGGTTTCTGTATGAGTGTTAATGACTCTTAGTGGCACTGCCTGGGGCTTGCCCTAAGTTGAAAAAAATGTTAAGAATGTGATTTCCTTTTTACCAGAATTCAGTTCAGTTCAGTCACTCAGTCATGTCCAGCTCTTTGTGACCCCATGAATCACAGCACACCAGGCCTCCCTGTCCATTACCAACTCCCAGAGTTTACTCAAACTCATGTCCATCGAGTCGGTGATGCCATCCAGTCCCCTCTGTTGTCCCCTTCTCCTCCTGCCCCCAATCCCTCCCAGCATCAGGGTCTTTTCCAATGAGTCAACTCTTCACATGAGGTGGTCAAAGTATTGGAGTTTCAGCTTCAGCATCAGTCCTTCCTACTAGAATTAACTCCCCTCAAGTTGCTACATACTTTTGGTCACTCTCCATTACCTTTCGATAATTTTTACTATTTTGTCCAAAGTTT